AATGTAACCATTTATGTTCCCAAGCGATGTTTGCTTTCTCTTAGGTTGTATTTTGATTAAGCAAACTGCCCACCACGAGTATCGAAACCCAGATTCTAGCGTTGTAAGTCCGCTTATGATTAGGACTAGATATCATACACTTTACGACTGCAGTTTTGCTATATCTATTACGTATTTTTCTCCAGTAAAAACTAATTTTTAGCTTCTGTAGTTGTTTGGTTGTTCCAAAGCAAAACTACGTTGGGCTCTCTTCTGTGTCCACACCGCGGGAAATCGAACCCCGGATTTTAGCGTTGTAAGTCCGTAAACTTACAGCTGTTCCATCGGGGGACTAGCTTCTGTAAAACGCTAACAAAGTTGCGTTTCAAAGTGAACCTGCTCGTGCGGAAACTTAGCAGTTTCGTTGATTTTCGAAGCTATTGTTATTTTCAGGAACCCATTTGTGAGCAAAGAAACTTTTAATACATTTTTTTTTAAGTGTATAGCTTTTTGCACTGTATAACGTAATTTGGGATAAATAAGTCTGTAGATACTGACTGAACGTGGTTTTATCCAATAATGATGTGTTATCCTGTATTTTTATTGGTTGTTTAGGTTAAGGCCAATAAAGGAATGAATTCTGAGTAATAGAAAATGAATAAAATACGGAAAAAATTGGGAATGGAAAGAAAATGGAAAAAAAGGAAGAAAAGCAAAGGAAAAAGGAAGTATTTATTGTTTGTTTGTTCGTCAGCATAAAGCTCTACAATGATTTATTTGTGCAATGTCCAACGCGAGTATCGAAACCCGATTTTTTAGTGATATAAGCCCTCTTATGTTGAGCCACCAAAAGACAAACTTTAAATTAACCATCGGGTTTTGTCGCTGAAGACATGCTGCTATGGCGATACTGTCAACCAGACAGTCCCGATGAAATATTAGATAAGAATTTTTTGAGGCTTTACTGGGGGATACTGGAAAAAACTGTTTTTTTTTTTTTTTTGGAAGAATATTTACTCCTGGTTTATGTTAGGCTTAAACATACGTGGGCAATATTCATCATATAACAATCGCACGAGATAAAATATACATAAATCACAAAACAAATAACCCGATAACTCTAGCGGTATCTTCCGAAAGTATTGTTGGTTTAATGACTTTTCCAATAACAATATTCAAGTCAAACATTGTATTTATAATTACAGCATTTATAAATCAGTATCTTATCAGTTCAATGCTTTGTTGTTTTTGATAATTTAGAATATATTTCTGCTGTCTCACTAAAATATCTACTCAATATTGTTCATATCAAACCTTACGTTATATAAATATATAAGAGTCGTGTTTATAAAAAGAGAGAAGGATATCGTGTACAACCATAAAATGAGTATGGTTGTATATGTATCCTGTAGATATAAGCAACCTTAACATGTAAAAATGTTTAATGATATATATATATATATATATATATATA